AATTCCTCACAGCGAATCGGCGATCGCGAAGAGGGAGTTCCGCTTCTATAAGTGTAGAATTCTGTGCTCTCTGCAAAGTGCGCGTTAGTGCATGCCTTGTGTATAATCGGGATCCGTCATAACTACTTGTAAGCGTGTTAATGAACTTAGGGCAGGGGCCTAAGTGTTCGCGTTTCATTGGATGGGTGACAGTAAATATGTCTCTATATTTTAGCTTTTTGTTCAAGATTCTCAGATTTTCAGTGTCACTGCATCTTGCCCTCCCACAGTTCTTACACCTCTCACACTGAATAGGTTTTCTTAAGCTATTCAAGTTATTACTCTACTTTGAGTTTAAGCATTAATTTTGTCTTTCACGTTTATTATATGAATCATTACACCCAGACTGGTTCATGACAGTCGATATTCTGGTTCTAGGCCTTTTCTCAGGCTCAAAACAAGATTCGTTTTTATATAGTTTATATATGCAGGCGAATATGATGAAGGTAAAATATAAATAAGTCGCACAAGACCACAGTGTGCCTCCACTTTCTGTACGTAATCAAGATTGTAAATATTTGGTAAGTGACTCATACTTGAAATTATCTTCCAAACCCTCAAACTTGTATGAAATTACCTTGCTTTGATAAATTGATGGTTTTTATTTCAGCATTCTAGGGTCCAACAGTATAATAATAGTGGGTGTCTCGTGAAAATGGGCTTCTGTCGCGATCACGCGGAAAGTTCCTCCTTTTTAAAAATTCTGAGTTGAGACCCATGGTACGGGGAACAAACATAAAAACTTAGATAAAATATGGAAAAGTATTTCTCAGTTTTTGGCTTATTGGCGAAAAATGGAGAAAACTTTGGATAAAATGTTTTTGTATAAGTTTGAAGAACACACCCAGGCATTGAAATGTGCAAAAACCTGTAATTAAAAAACAGTAAACCAGAAAACAAAGACATCTAGACACCGAAATGTGTAAAAATCTATCATCAGAACACAGTAAAAAAGAAAACAAAGACACTACTAACCTCCAGTTTCATCCTGTTAAAAAGGTAGCTTTGCTTGAGGATTTCCTGCCAGAAGCGAGACGATTCGTCAAACAAGTCGCCATCTTCTGAGCTCCGGAGAACAGCCTGACTCTCAATCTGTAGACATATGAGGTTATCTTATTAATCTGTAGACATATGAGGTTATCTTATTTCACTGACCTGCACTGTCAAAATGAGTTGCTGCAAATAGGAAGGACAATGTTGTTTTTGGGGGTTTAAAAAAAAGTTTTAGTAGGGGTTTTATGACGCTCGCAACTGCATAAGGTCATATGAGCGCCAATGGTGGATGTAAACAGAGAAGTCCTTACAGGGAATCATACCCACTCTGCTCACCTCTCTAGCTTCAACAGCACAAAGTCTGCTTCGACTACCAAGGCACCCCGGAAATAACAGGTTACAAGAGAGTGACAAACATACAAAAGAAGTAGAGGAAAATGATGATAGCAAGGATTAGGAAAGAAAAAGCAGCAGTTCCCTGTTGTAGTTCAAGCACAGTTGTGAGCATGACATTATTGGATCAGCCCATTTACAATTCCACTGTGCATTAAAAACAGAAATGTACGCCCTTTGGGAATGGCCTAAAGACACTTCAGTCAGTGGCACCACCCGGAGGGGGGAGGGGGGTTTGTTTTGTAAAAAAAATAAATTGACAATAAATTAAAAGATCACACAGATAAAGTCGCACGAAAAAACCCAAAGGAAAAGAAAAACACAACATGACCTGCTCCAATGGTCACCTGTCCAAGACAATCATCTGTACAAACGAGCACTTTCCATATCACCTGTTACATTTAAAATGCTTGCTTTTCTCAGTGTTGGAAGCACTAAATTATTTATCAGTGAAATTTCGTCCATCAAAGGAAATTTTTAATTCGTCCCAGCGACAGAAAAAGCAACGTTTGACCCATGATAAGAGATATGTTTGACGACATTGTGGAATCAGGCGCTCGTCAAATTTTGGGCATGTGGAGTTATTGGTATCATTAGAAAGCTGATTTATTTGCCTTGAAATTCCAATTAAAATAAATATCTATTTATCTTGAATACAACTCGATACATCAGCTTTTGAAGGATGTGAGGTTGCCTGGTTTCAGTGGTGAAACTTTTTTTTTAATAGTAGAAGGCTTTACGGCGCTCGCAACTGCATAAGGTCATATGAGCGTCAAGGGGTGGGTGTCAACAGAGAAGTCTTTACAGGGAATCAGACTTAGACTGCTCACCTCTCTAGCTTCAACAGCACAAGGTCTGCTTCAACTATCAAGGCACCCCAAAATAGCAGGTCACAAGAGTGACAAACATACAAAAGAAGTAGAGGAAAAAATGACAATAGTAGGGATCTGGAAAGAAAAAGCAGCAGTTCCCTGTTGTAGATCAGGCACAGTTATGAGCGTGACATGAGTCAGCCCATTGACAATTCAACTATGCTTGAACGAGAAATGTCCCCCCTTTGGGAATGGCCTAAAGACACTTCAGTCAGTGGCACTGCCCCGGGGGTACACAAGCACGAAAATGGCCACCAAAGTTTGGTAACAATACCTGGAAATGTGTTTTTATATAGACATAAAAGAGCTTAAGCCAAAAAAATAAAAATTCGATAAAAATGTCCAAACTAGCAGGAAAATGCCCGTTTCTCCGATTTCATTATTTTGACGAGCGCCTGATTTCATCATGCTGCCTCACATATGCGCACAACATGTACATTTTCATTATTTATGGAAATTTTATTTAATAAATGAGTGTTTTATATGTCCTGATGTGGACCAATGGCCTTAAACACTACATTAAAAAAAAATATTGACACTGCCCAAGACATCCACATGTCTAAGGCGACCACTTTTTTCCCTGACAATGGGTGGCCGTCTTGGACAATTTTGACTGAGTATTTGACTTCACATTAAAATATCACTTTTTTCTTCTTTTTTTTTGGGTGTTTTATGGCGCTCGCAAATGCATAAGGTCATATGAGCGCGCGGGACACACCTAATATTTTCAGTTGGTAGGAAATTTTTAATTTTGCCCTGGTGGCGGCCGAAGCCTACTCTTATCAATTTTAGACCACCAAAGGATCTTTAACGAGCGCAACTTGCACACGTGCCCTCCGAGATTTTTCGCCCTTGTCCAAGAAGGCTAGGTGTAGATCTTTCCTACCAGAAGATCAGGGGTGTGGCAGAAAGACAGCAGTAAGGAGGAGCCAAGGAGTAGCAGTAGAAAGGCTGCAGAAGAGTCAGGAGCCCAGAGGAGGGGGCAAAGGAGGTGAGGGGGTGGGGGCACAAAGCAGACGACAGAGCATAGCTGGAGAGCAGGAAAGGAGGTGAAAGGAGACAATTTTAGAGAAGTCCTTGTCGAGCAGCCTGGGGACCCCTGCTCTGGGTAAGGTCGTCGAGAGAATGGTCAACGACAGATTGTACTGGTGGATGGAAAACACCGGCACAATCAGCACATCACAGGCAGGATTCAGGAAAGGCAAAAGAACTATGGACCACCTCATCAGATTTGCCCAGAAGACCAGTGATGCCTTTCAAGATAAAGACAATGTTGTGGCTGTCTTCATCGACCTGAGGCAGGCGTATGACCGTGTGTGGAGACAGGGACTGTTCTACAAAATGCAAAAGCTTGGGATAGCAGGAAGGATATCCAGCTGGAT